CTTGCGAAGGCGGTATTCTTGGTCAGAATCTGGCCATATATTGATGTGTACGTGTAGGTGGCATGTACATGTGCAGATGAGCTGCCACTTGATTTGCTGCTGCTGAGAGTTTTGTCGTCTTCTCCCGTACCAGCTTTACATACTCGGACTGCCTTGCCAGTTCTTTTGAGCTTTAGTTTGTCAGGGGTATCTGAGTATGTTCCTTTAGCTGCTAGACCTTCAAAAACCTTCAATAAGCTCTCCCCTTATTGGGCCTCCTATTGGGTGTCAACGTCTGTAGGGGTGTAGGAAGACGGCAGTTCAGTGCAAGATGACAACAAGTAAGTGCTGCTTACACTACTAGTTTTTTTACTATTGAAAACCCTATGAAATTGTTTAATTAGCCATGAAATCTATAAAACCACATTTTTCATAGGTTAATGAAGAACATATGAAAATATTTGTGGCCATGAAAAAGCTATCGATTTATATCCACTGGCTCTATGAAAATGTTTCTCATAGAATCCATTATATTATCATGGATATGTATATCCATGAAAAGTCCATGCATTAATCAGTGATGAAAGTAAGCAATGTAGAGTGCATAAATTTAACATTCAACCACTTTTCATAACCAACTCAATATTAACGAAAAAGATTACACAAAATTAAAAGACAGCGTTCAATACCCACAACTCATCATTTGAGACAGCAACTGGGAGTGGCCTACTCAGGGTGGTGATCAGCTTAATAGTTGGTACTGGATGATCCCCTGGATTTTTATACTGCCTCATCCCATAGTGAAAATGAGGGGGTGAAGAGACTATGTGTATAAGTGCATAATTAACACCTGCATATAGAAATAAGCTGGTTATTTGCCCAATGCCTTCCGTGCCAACAATTAAAACATAAATGTTTGGGGCATATCTAATAACTCGGCCTGATTTATATCTTTGCTGCCAGCTCTCTCTCACCAATGCTGTAATAAAGTTATATATGCCCATCAAAAGGAATAATTAACTTTGCACATACATACACTAGACATTGGCGGTCATCGATTTGCTGCTCATCCCTCAACCTCATGAACTCAACCCATTCGAAAATCTGTCAAAGTGTAAATTAGCATTGCTTGCAGGCATATAGCAATAAAAAATGAAACTAACACGGTATGTCTCCATTATTGTTGCCTCTGGTCGGTGACGATTTAAAGCCCGTCTACACAACCAGCTGTTAAATCTCTCAAAACAATACATCCATGTACTGTAAACAGGCCCAAACCGCTGTATACCCGCCACAACATGGTGGAGCAAGTGAGTCGTGATGTCCTTTTGAATAATTGAAACACACGCTTGTTGGCATCAGTCATTTATATCATGAATGAAAAGCACTGAAGTGCAAACCCTCGGCACAATACTGGCTGTTTGTTCTTTATTATTGTCACGTTTTACTGTTGATTTATCAAAGTGAAATGTACAACATGGTTGTGACTCATACTGAGTGTGACAGTTTAGTGAGGCAGAGTTCAGTGACGAGAGATGTTAATGATAGTGTGAAACTTGTTGTAAGAGAGGTCAAATGGTGGAGAAAACAGAATATCTTCATTTGTGATGCTGCTTTCTTTATTGGCTATGCTTTTTATTACATCTCCATGTGCGCAAAGAGAAATTACATTCTGATCATTCTTGACTAACAGTCGAGCACTTAGCTTCGGATCACTTAGCCTTTGTGTTGTCTTGCATGAGCTGCATGTTCCCGCCATTTCTGCGGTCGGCGTGACAGTCTTTTTGCAGTTCACATGCTTGCCATGTGCTTTCTACTCTGCTGTTGTCTTTGCACAGTTTGCTCGTTAGTTTCTGATGCTCTTTTAGTGGCCTTCTGCAATTTTATCTTTAGCCGTCATAGCTGATTTGACACTATCTGACTGTAAGACTCGCACGCGTTTCATGGCTTTGTCTGGCAAATTATGCTCTGCTTTTCTCTTGGAATGAAAGACATGTTGGCAACATTTACACACTTTCAGCCTTAGTGGTACGATAGTTTCACACTGTGGGCATACCTTACTTGGAGGCATGATAGCAAAATAGCAACTCACGGAACTGGAGAACGTCTTCTCACCGAACGTGAAACAAAATGGCCGCTTTCCACCACGTGGTCGGATATAATGCGCATGCGCGTTTTCCGCAGCGATAAAATGGCGACTACCAGCATTAGCCATACAATGGTGGAAGCGCTCTAGCTTTGCAACGGAGCATTTTCAGAGAAAACCCCACAAATGTTCTGACCTTCATCGCCCGTTGGGTAGATGGTATCCTTTGTGAGACGAAAGAACACTCGAGAAGTGAGATGAAGAGTAACAGACACACAGACAGACAGACCCAACTACTGTAACCCTCGCTGCGCATGCACGCCGAGGGTTAAATATAGTACCTGCAGAGACCTAGGGAAGTCTCTCTCAAGAAGGGCTAGTGAGAGGTAGACTTTTTCTTCTAGCTCATTCAGGGAATCTTTCTTGTGAGATTCCGATAGCAGCTCAGTTATCGCTTCAAGAAAAAAACACAATGATTCTCTTTGCTGCTGCCCGAGCATGTCCCTAAAGGAATACCCTGACCTGCAATCTTGTGTGTGTGTGATTAGTACAATTAACTAAGCAACAAATTTACAAAAGTTCAACAAACCTGTTTCCAGTCATGTGACTTCAGACGTGAAGGGTGGCTAAACACATGTGTAAATTTGACGTCTAGGTGGGCTGGTATCTGAAGGTGTGACAGCCTTTCCTCGGCTACCTTAAGCTCACTGCTCGATATCTTCCATAGGTCTCCACTAAGGCGGCCACGTTCTGCCAGTTCTATTTTCTGTTCATCAGCTTTTCCTTTTCCTGTACAGATAATGAATACTGTAAATCCAGAGATTATTGCATTACATTTTTCACCTGTTACTAGGCATACAATTTTCTCAATGACATCTTTGACAGTGTGCATGCAATCAGGGACTGTCTGTTGTGTTCTGGTAGCTTCATTAAGGCATAGGTCCCTCTGCAACCGGTTGACTTTGCAATAAGGCTTGCTTGTGCTCTGTTATATAGTCATAGCTCTATTGTAATTATGCGGGGAAAATACAACAAATTCACAACCTAGTTGGTGCTCTATTATAATATGCCAAATGGTAGTCTTTCATTTTCTCATATTCCTTCAGTTTAGGACATGGTCTTCTTTCTGCACATTGATCAGGAAAACTGGACAAAATTACATGCTGTAGTATAATGTATTTCTAGAAGTTTATTATACCTGACAGTATCGTCTCTCAAAGTAGATGATGTGGGAAGATAGCGCCGGTTCTCCATATACAGGGTCTTGTGAAGCACTTCATTTCGCTGACCAGACAATTCGCAGAAGGCGCATCCCTGAATTCCACCTGAATCCACCACCCCCAATACTTTTCCTATTCCAGGGTAGTCTAGTACATGTCCCTGAAACAGAAAACAGACAAAAACTCCAACCTCCGTTTGCTTGCCACATAGCCGGCCACCTCACCCTCGTCTGCTGCAGGAGCAAACTAGGCACATAGAGAAGGAACAACATAAGCCTGAAGTCAGGTAAACAAATACCTGCCCTATAATTTAGCGATTTTGGTGAAGTGAACACTCATTTTCCGCCTGAAAATTTAGCGATTTTACAAACACAGATTAGGACTTTTACGCCTACTGTGTCGACGGTCTCCTGCACTGAGCGTCTTCTGGTTGACTGTATGCAGCTCAGCTGCCCCAGAACTTGAGCTCTCCTCTTGAGGGTCAGGGAGAAAGGGCCTTTTCAGAGGCAGAAAATAGCGGTACAGCGACATTGTGAACCCCTGCTTTGCACGTTGAAGGTCAAAGGTCACACTGGTTTTATCACGTGCATGTTATTATAGCGCACGTGGGTCTATTGCGAAACTCGTGGGATTTTATGACTGGCAAAAAAGTTAGGGTTTACAGTACGAGGACAAACACACCTCATCAACACTCTTTTTCTCTCTTCTCTTTTCTTTTCCCCGATAAACCACCACGGAGGTCGGTATCAACCAAATGGTTACAAACCCATGAACTACGCCTACCTTTTCTGACTTGTGCCCGGAAGGAAGCAGGATCTGTCACTGCTGTCACCCGCGCAGTCATTAGCTCCGTGACTGGCTGGGATGGCGGTGTCTGGTCCACTTTGCTGGCTTGAGCACGTCCAGTCGACGGAAATGCAGAGACAATTGGGCCTCTTCTCCCTCGAACACCTTGCATTACCTGAGAAAAACGATTTCACACCTCAGTTGGCAGGACAGTTGGCAACTACTGCGGGGCATCATTCTCCTCTTTACAGCGGATGTCTTACCAACTCAGGTCTTTCCTGCTGCAGCGCCTGCTCCCGCAACTCCAGCCGTCAAGCGCCTACTATATAGCTGAGCATACACAACGTGTAGGACCACGGTGGGATGTTTTGAGGTGTGCGTGCGCCGTGACACGATGTGTACATTCTAAGTTAGACCTATCTAGTCTCGAAAACAGGCCTTCTCCCTCCTATTGTTGTTAGTCTAAACCGGTTATTCTGCTCGTCCGGTTATTCTGCTTGTGAATCAACTCGTCATACCATGAGATTGTCGCAAAGCTTGATAATTGGCGATGTTATTATTACCTACTCACAAATCTACATGTAAGCACAACTAAATCTCTAGCTCTCGGTGGAGGCAAATCCCTGCAGGTTACAGCAGTGTTACGTATTGAAGCCCCTCGCTGTGTGACTATGCACAACACATGTCATTTCATGGAAGTTATTTTTCCACTGTTTTACTTCATTTGAGACGCAAAGCCCCAGTAGAGAGCGTTGCATAATGCGGTGTGACCCTTCCCGTCAATCAGCAACCTGCGCATGTGTATGGGTGTTGAAATGGATATCATGTGCATGAAGGGTTTGCACTATATATCAGGTATGTCTGTGTTTTCTTCTTTAGTGCTCAACTTTATATACTGTATTTCTTTTCTCCCACAACTCCGCTGGAAGTGAGACAAGTTACTGTTCCCGAGAGTTTACGAGCTGGTCTGGAAACAGGTTATTATACACAATCCCCTCTCTTCAGTCTGTGTTTCTTTGGCCCACCCTGATTAGCTGCTTTTGTCATACCAGCTGGCTCTTTTTTTAATACTGCGCTTTCAGCCCATACATGGAGGTGAAACTTGGTACACATGGTGTTAGTATTACATCATTTCCATGACGACCACATATTTTTTTGAATAGCCTCATTTGTGTAAGTCCTAATCCAAAAATGGTTTTTGGTATTTCCCGTAACTTTGAAGTATCTGTGTTCTTATACTTGCTGTTATTTCCTAATACTTTCTGCAACTTAATGTTCAAATTTGGTCTGATATATTCTCTTCCTGTTTCCTGTCCAGATACAGGAGGTCTCCAGCTGCTAGGCTAACAACAATCATTGATCTCGGGTCGAGCGGGGACTGTCCCTATGTCCACTGAGTCACGTGACCAGGCCCCTGCGATGTCATTGGTCGAACGAGAGTGTGATGATGTCATAGACAGTATGGTTGCCGCGGTAGCCAGTAGTGGAGACGAAGAGGCCGATGAAGAGGGAGAAAAGGGCGAGGTCTCTGAGGAAGAAAAGGGTGTGTGTTCTAAACTCATATGCCATATGTATATTGTGTTGTATTTGTGCATGCATTGATGTGTATGTATTGTTTGACTTTCCTAAGCAACCGACATGTATGAACGGTGGTTACGGGGAATTGTACCAGCAATTGCTGTCCCCGTCTGGGTGCGTGCGGGCAACAGCTCTCCACCACAACACATACCTACGCGTGGAAGGCCGCGCTTACCACAGCAGTGACACTGGTGACGTCTTCCGAGTTGCCAGTAACATCCACCTGCACATCCTTTCCAACCGCGGATGAAATGTTCCTTGATAAGCTACCTGCAGAACTCTTTTATGACTAGTTTTGAACTCCTCTTCTTCGACAAAAACTTCAATATTATAGTCACCCTGTGCTATTGCTGCTTGTGTACACTGTGTACTCATTACTGTGTACTCATTGATTTTTCACACTCCAGACAATGGAGAGGTATTCATGCATGTCGGTTGCTTAGGAACGTCCAACAAATCTGTTGCAGTGTGTTGTAGCTACACAGGTGTCTCTGTCTGGCTACTAACGGGTGAACTACGATTGTGACACATCCCTTTCCTCCCCAGTTCGTTGGTGACCAAGTCAGCTACCACCTCTACTTCCACTAAACCAACCAGCGAAGGTGGACATCAAGTCGCAGGAAGAGACAGCCAATTGTTTGGGATGAGCCATCTTGTAAGTGACGTATTCTCTCTCTTCTCCTTGGACCCCTCTACTTCAATGTATGCTTAAATATTATAGCATGGATCCATCATATCCACATTTCCTGGCTTTCTCTTCATCTCTCTTCTTTCCTCTCTTCATTCAGCCTCAGCTCCATCATCAAGTGGCGGTCCCAGAACTCAGTCAAAAAGAGCCATCGTCAAGATTCAGAGGTTTGTTGGGTGGGAAGCGAGCCTACCTTGTTATCTGAAATGCACGCACTTCTTAATGTGTATGCTTAGTATCAATGTTGTTATCTGAAATGCAGCACTTCTTAATGTGTATGTTTAGTATCCAATGTTGTTATCTGAAATGCACCACGCACTTCCTAATGGTATCCAATGTTGTTATCTGAAATGCACCCACTTGTGTATGTTTAGTATCCAATGTTGTTATCTGAAATACACCCACTTCTTATAATGTTGCTACCCTTACCATAATGTCCTATAATTATACAGATCCATAGACTTTTGCACTGTCATGCAACCACTCTTGTAGCATGTGTAATGCTCATGTGCAAGCCTTGAGCCAGGACCACTGTGAGATCGGACCACCAATGATGTGCTCCAAACATTCACGTACAGCCTGGTCAAGCAAAGTTGCTTGCAAATTTCTCCGCGTACGCGGAATTACGCATGCGCGGAATATTGCCACGCCCATCCGCGTAATATGTAAAGTGGCGCGTGGCGTTGCGGAGCAATTACGCGCGCGCCATATTAAAGTTGAATATTAATCTTGCAACATTTTTATTACACGAATAAGGGCACTCAAGTACCAGTTAAAAAAGTTGAATATTAATCTTGCAACATTCCTATTACACGAATAAGGGCACACAAGAACAATGATACTATTGCATCAGAGAAAATTTAGTTAGCTCGACGAAGAGGCTGTTGATGACAGGGACGCCCCCTCGTTTGTACTAGAGGCGGTGGTGGAGAGGGAGGGGCCAGAGTTGGGGTCAGATCTGGGATTGTTGGTCGTGTTGGTACTCAGAGTCTTGTCTGTCGGTGGAGGGGCCATCTGTGCATAGCTGAGTCTCCTGCCGTCAGTCTTTGCCCCGCTGGTTGAGCTCGACGAAGAGGTTGTTGACGACAGGGACGCCCCCTTGTTGGTACTAGAGGAGGTGGTGGAGAGGGAGGGGCCAGAGTTGGGGTCAGATCTGGGATTGTTGGTCGTGTTGGTACTCAGAGTCTTGTCTGTCGGTGGAGGGGTGGGTGGAGGAGGCGGAGCCTGTTTACGGAGAGGCTTGGGGGATGGTCGTGACTGGCTCCTGTAATTATTGCCTCCCGGTTGCTTGCCGTCTCTGTCTCGGTCGCTGCGATCGCGGTCTTTGTAACGTCCCCTGAAAACACAAATAAAACATTACTATTATTCTGGCATTATTATTTAACAAAGCTCGGTGTTTAGTGATTAGCTCAGTCTGATAGCTTGATGTCGCCTTCTATAATACTGGCAACTACTACGAGGTCAGAGATATCTGTAATTTTGCTGGCATACACTAACCTACAATATATAATTATAGTCTGTATTTTCCCATCTTCATACATACACACTGTCTGCATGACTAATGCAGTTCGTCCTATCAGGCACAATGTGTTGGAAAAAGAAGCACAGGTTTAAGGGCATACAAATGCACCACTGAGTTATCTGAGCTCATCCTCAAGCTGCAGCATAATGCATCGGACAATGAACAAAAAGAACTCCATTTGCACACATTATTTGTCACATGAATGTGTACATGCCACTTCTCCATTACACAACACAAGTGGACACAAAAACTACACCTTCACATGTGCACCCTCAATGCACATGCTGGCAAGAGCCCAGGTACATGTACAACATGATGGAGGCATACACTGCATATACATGTTTTGGGATGTATATACTACATGTGTACTGTAGTCCATTCACGTTGAGAAGGCATGTTGATTTTCTTGAATAACTTCATTATCAATTTAACTCTAATGCACAGTGCCTTTAGAGTGTCCATTCCTTCCGTCTTGGTACATATTAAATGCAGAGCTTTTGTGTGACATTAGAAAAGCCCTCCTTCTCAATGTATGACAAAGTGCATTCTGAACTTGAACATACTGATACGTACTTTCCAGTGGAAGGAGGACGACCTTCTACTCTATTGAACACCTGTGACCTCTGTGGGAAAAGGAAGGCATGCATGTAACACAAACACAATATCACTGGTACATGAATGGTACTTATGTCATCTAATATATAGACAGTAATTGGCAATGTACAAAACAGTGTAATATAGCAGCAAAGGGTAAGTTTGCTCAATAATCACTTAACAAGCACATTTTGTTTGTGCATGTTATTATCTACAAGTACAATATTGTACACCATACTGTACACACATCAGCAGAGCCTATACCAGCAAAACTTCAGTGTGAAAAATAGTTGGCGAGCGGGGGAGTGAGCTAACCTAATGGTCCAAACGACGCGATATAATATTTATATGTCACCGTATGTTGTCTAACTGCGCATGCGTTTGAATTACGCGCTTCTTTTTACCCGAAATTATTTCAATATTTTTACATGCGAGGGAGGGGATGAATTGGGTTAGGATGCGTACGGATTGAAAGAGGCAAAGAGGAAGGGAGGGAAGGAGAGGGGAGGAAATTGTAGAGAAAGAGTGGTGGATAGAGAGGGACAGAAGAGAAAGGATTAGGGAGGGAAGGGCAGGAGGGGAAAAACAGGGATGTCCATAGGGACTTGTGTTGGTAGTAACCATCAAAGAGCAAGGTGGACAAATTAGGACATTATTACCCTCGGCGCGCATGCGCAGCGAGGGTACAGTACTTGGGTCTGTCTGTCCATCTGTTTGTCTGTTAGTCTGTTAGTCTACATCTCACTCCTGGAACGTCAGTTCGTCCCAGAAACGATACCCTCTACCCAACGGGCGACGAAGGTCAGAAAATAAAGACGGTTTTCTCTGAAAATGCTCCGTTGCAAAGCTAGAGCACGAAAAAGCCAATAAGCAAATACGCAACGGACGGGATGGGTCTGATCGATCAGCGTGCTCTGCGACCTCGGAGGCACCAGAAGATGCAACGCAGGGCGTGTGTCGCCTCTCGCATGCTGTCTAGTAGTGTAGTTAGCCCGCGTCAGACTCTGCGCGAGATGGCTAGAGACCAGGAGTAACAGCCAGAACTAAACCCGGGCCCATCAATTAGTGATACAGCGCATGCGTTTACTCACGCGTGCGCGTCACAATGCGCCGAGGGTTTACACTTCAGTGCTTTTCATGTAGTAATTAACCATTTCTCATACCATCTCTGGCTGAACCAACCTGTTTAACAAAACACAGTCAATACAGATGTTTCACTGGTATAGCATCAGTAGGGAAGGAACTACAGGGACATGGTTTACACTGGTGCTACGCCAACAAATTCTTGGAAAAGAGGATATAGACTTTGCTTCCAGACTGACCTTTATTTCAGTTCTCTGTGGTTTGGGAGGCAGGTTCTGTGGTCCACTACTACTGCCTGCATTGGCCTGGTGGGTTGGGGGAGGGGAAGAGAATTCAAACAGAGAGGGAAAGTCAAGGGAGTGGGGAGTGGGTGAGAGGGAGAAGATGGAAGGTACAAAGAAGAGGAAACATGGGGGATAGAGGGAAACACACAGGTAAAGAGAGAACTGGGGAATATCAATTAACATGCACAACTGTACGATACAGCTTTTGAGTAGAGAATATTTCACAGCCCCTCATGTTACACTACAGACACCAGGAGAACAATAAAATTGAAATACTCTGGATGCTAAAATTAGCTTGTTTGCGCTAATTATTGTGAAACCATGCAGTACTTACAGTGCTTCTTTAGGCTAAAAGGCTCCTAATTGCAGGTATGCGGTCACTACAGCAATTGGCAATATTTTAGCAGCTGCATGCAGTTAATGATGGGATTTGAGGGATATCCTACACATTTTTAATTAATGGCCACCGTTGTAAATTTGCTACATACTAACTTCTATCGGTTGTCTAGCCCTGTTCCTCGTCTCCATTGTGTCCTCCTGTGTAGGTTTGCCTGCAGCCGACAACTCACTCTCCCTCGTCTCCTCCCTCTCTCTCACTTCATTCCGCTGATTCCCCATAGGTGTTAGTTCTCTAGTTGGAAGGAAGAAATGGTATCAAATACAAGTTCGTTACTCAGTTAAAAGCAACAACAGGTTTTTCAATGAAACAGAGGGCCTCAGGTTTTAGCGTCTATTAGACACAGAAGCGAGGTGTCTACGCTTCATTGCAATCCAAGGGACTGTGGAATGTGTCGTTCCGAGTGCAGCAAGGGCGCTACACACAGGCCCCAAGGGTTGCAATGCTGCGTGGATACTGAGCTTCCATGTTTAGACCAGAAAATCTTAATGTCGGTGCATGTAAAAAAGGATAGCAACGGAGCAACGAGGCGATCACCCCCTGTTCGAGTTGTGCTAGGAGCCTGGAGATGATGTCCGAGAGCTCCGGAGACTGTCAACAGACTTCCTGCAGCTACTAGTGCACACTGCATAGGGAGCCAAGGCTGCACAGTACCGGCAGCCACACCCACTACAAGAGCTACTCTACCAGCCCCACCCACCGCATGCAGAAGTGGTTGGTTTGCGCAGAAAACAACTTAATTGTTGTTGTGTACAGGGAACTTGCTGACTACCTGCAAACACTAATAATACACCACACCCAAGACATCAGCAGGCTTCAGGCAAGCCGGACATGGAGCATAGAGGGGCATGCCCAGCTAGTAGCGCAGGCAAAATCTGAACTCGAGATCATGAAGGTGAAGACCAAGGGGAGGAGAGGAATTACATTTAGCCAATCAACTATGCGCATACACATGGTTAGCCCCACGTACTTCTTCATAGCAATTTCTGTGAATGGCCTCTAGCTCAGACTCCCGCAGACATTCTGCAATAGCAGCTGAACAGAGGTTCATTGCCACACTTGCAGTAGTATGTATCATGAGAAGCTAAATAGGACACTTGGTTATGTGTCTACTTAGTTATCAAAACAACACATTGTTAACATTCCTCTTCTGGGTGGGCGGAACAACTTTTATTACACCAAAGCCTCTCTTCTCTCGTAAGGGTCTGGCTTGACAGTGGCGGAGCTAGGATTTTGAAAGGGGGGGTTCCGCTGTCCAGAACGTTTTCGACTGCTCTCGTGCACGCGCACGGTGATGCATGCGCGCAAAACGACAAAAAGTGGGGTTCCGCGGAACCCAAGGAACCCCCTGGATCCGCACTGCTTGAGAGACTACACCCACTGTGTTTGTGGAAAAGGGCCCCGCCCACACTACGTTCATGTATTATGCATTATTCTTACATAGATTACATAATGGTATGTGGGATAGCTGTATAAGCAAATCAAATGACTCACATGTCATTAGAATGTCCAGTACCATTCAAATCTGGAGAGGGGGAATGAACAAGTGATTGTGGAGAGAAGAAGCTTTTGTTGGTTTGATTGATGCTTGGTGGTTAGGAACAGTAAAAATCATAGAAGAATATGACATTCTAAAGATTATACAACTTTAAAATAGTTTTGCTCAACAGAGTTGTCCTGGGTGTATCTAACCTTGTGACCATCTTGTTGATGTGACTTAAGCTACCAACTGAAAAATCACACAATTCTGAACACCAAATGGGTCAGATTGTTACTACGTACTTGGTAGCTGAACTCTGGGTGGTAGATTACTCTCTTTACTCTCCTTCTTCTTGACTGCACGGGGAAGCCTCCACTTCTTGATATAGAGCACTGCTAAAACCATACCGATACAGATCCCTATCACAATCACCAACACCATCACCGCAATCCCCACTATCAACCCTGAAAAAACGAGAAGGAAACATATCAACACAACAACTAATATAGTTCTGGGCCATACACTAAAGCCCTTGACTTGCCATAGGGTCTAGTACATATCCTTTAAGCACACAAACGAAGCAACGGTTAAAGTACTTGGTCTGTGTGTATGTCTGTCTGTCCATCAAGGCACATCTCACACTCAACTCCACAAATTAACAGCCGTGAAAATATGCGGTAACTTTTGCAGAGTCAGTGTGTCTCTTGCAGTACTGGCTACAATGGTCGGCAATCTTTACTGTTGCTGGTTATGAGGCCTTGTGCGCCTTGTACGCCACAACAGCACATAAAACCATTATTTATTGAGAGTAGTAGTGACCTTTGTAAGCCAATTATTGCGTGTGCAGCTGGACATGTGGGTGGTTTTTACACTACTATTATAGGGAAGGCAAATAGATTTTTTTACTCTGAATGTGTGTGTGTGTGTGTGTGCGCGTTGGGTATTGGGGGAAGAAAAGGAAGATAGTCCTAGATTGAGGGAGGAGTGTGCCAACCTCACCGCGTGTGGCTGCCTAGTGGTCCAAAGTGTATGCATCATTAACTGTTGACTCACTTCTAATCTACCTGGGAACATATATTGGGCAATATTGAGCTATTATTCTACTCTATGGTTTCTGTGTTATTTTATTTGTAGGGGCACCTAAGTTATGGAGGTAATAGGGAACATGGAGAGCAAAGTACCATTGTTAGAGCGGAACAGTATGTGTGTGTATGTGTATGTACTACACCTACAAGCACAAGAGTAAGACATGGATGCCCAGCCTTGAGAACTGGGGACGGTGGGTAAAAGATATTTTATGGCTAGCCAACTCTCCCCACAATAATAATAATAATAATAATACTCAGGTGGCTGCCATAGCACTAGGGCCATAGACCACGCACCCAGAGCAATGGGCGGAACCGTTAACAAACGAACATACACCATATGAACATGAGGTGTCTGTCTCACCTCCCAGACACCTCTACTCACCCCTTCCACCAGTGACACCCTGCAGCTCCCCAGACGCAATCTGAGACTGGGTCTGTTGTACGCTGGGATTATCGCCGTATAACCTAACCTTTCTTAGAGCTCCCAAACATCCAAAATAAAACCTTTAACAAGGCCAAGCAAAGAATCAAATTTATCCTCCCACAGCTCACTGCCCAAAATAAAGGATGCTTTCCTAAAACTATCAAGCGACTGGAAATGCTCAAACCCATCATCCCCAAGCTTCCCCTGCAGGGCAACTAAGAAATAGCTCCTAAGACTACTATAAGCTGGACACTCCCACAACACATGACTCACACTTTCACACTCATCATCACACAACAGGCACTCCTTCATCCCCTCCATCCTACCCAATTCCTCATTTAGCCCATGCATGCCTGACCTGAACTTAAACATTAGACCCAGCATCACTATTCCCTTGCAAGTACTTTTTAAATTCTACCACCTTGTTAAATGTCTTATACAATAACAGTTTTACTTTGCTATTTAGCCCCTCTTCAAACGTTCTAATCTCCCTCTCATTGATACTGTCCCCTACTATAGACAAAAAGCCCTTCATGGAGCAATCCCCATTTTGACTATCATGCAACCACTCTGCCTTGTCAAGACCTAATGATGAAAATAGATCATCAATGACCTTACTGATCAAAACCACTGTGCAGTATACTCTCACTCAGTATGTGTATGCATTCACTCCATACATGCATGTATGAATGCATGTATACATGTGTGTAGGTACAGCATGTATGTACGTACAGATGTATGACATTGTTATTACTAAGAATACCCCTGGAAGGTGTTCGTTTCATATCTAAACCCCTAAACATTATACTCAAGCTGTTGATCCACCCAGAGATAGTAATTAGTAGTTACGAAATACCCTCAAAATCCTTACCATAACATTTCGGACTACATATCAATATTTACCTATATTCATAGGAGATTCAGTGTCACCTGCAGTGACAGAAAGGTTACGAGATTACTGCCAGAATGTAAAGTATACGCCCCAGACACAAGATGAGAAAAGCAAATGATTTTGTACATATGAACAGGCAGTATATAAAGCCGACTAATTGAGAGCACTCACTGGCCGTAGGGTTTGGAGCATTTGGCTTTCCAGAGACCGCTACTACTCTAACAACAGCAGGCTCCTGGCCATCCATCGGACCATCATACACTGTCACATTGTAGATCCCAGTAGGGAGCTCAGGAAATTTGTGAGGTCCTCTAGAGGTATTCATCAATTTTCCCTTCTCTCCCTCCACTACCACTGTACATGTGGTGTTCTGAGGAGAGCCTTCAGCAAACTTGCATTCAACCAGCAGTCCGTGTGCCTTCTCCATTATACTCACACTCTGCACATGGTGAGTGGCTGCAGGTATGGGTTAAATTTCCAATCCCGCTATGTCATTGGAATTAATGAGTATAAACTATTAAGTGTCTGTCGTGAGAAAGTCCACACTACCGCTTAGTAATGTACCACAACATGTTGCTGTAGGTAGTGATTGAAAAGGTACTTTAAGCCAGCCAACCCCCCCTCCCCCATAATACGGCATAAATGTTGCAATCAGAGGAACACAACATGCACATGAATGATAATGTCATGAGCCATTCACTCACAGAAGTTTACTGAGAGAGACTGTTGGTGACTGAAGGAGAGGGTGGCAGTGTAGTGGGTGTGAGGGTTCAGAAGGTTTGGTCCCAGAACAACGCTTATTCCTGTCTCTGTTACTATAGGAATGAACACATCTCCAGTGGCTCCTCCACTGCCATCGTTTTCTCCTAACAATAATCTCACCAGCACTGTATCTATACACACATCATCATGCTGAGAGGGGGAGGGGAGGGGTGGGAGAGAGAATGTATTGAAACACCAAGGTATAGATGCAAATACTCTAGAGACCTTACTTACAACAGAGACAGACTACAAGTTTGATGTGCATTTGCTAACCTGAGCAGTTAGTGAATAGAGCATCATCTCTACTGAGGGAGCCAATACTGAATTAGTGAAAACCACTTTTCTTTCCAAGTGACTCTCTGACACCAAACCTGTAATATGTAGTGATACATAATTCTACACTACCACTGCCACCCATAATCAGACTACATAACCTTTCAGTCGTGGTACAGGTGCCAGAAGAGGTGGGAGGAGAGTACTGCAGGAGAGGAGAGGGAGCTCCGGGACCCACTGGGCTCTCAGCTCTCACACTCAGCCACACGGGGAAGGTGTAGCGAGGGAAAAAGAACTCAGAGGAGTGGCCAGGCAGGCTCCATGTCTGGTTGGTGGTGGAGTCCAAGAGATCTCTGGAGACAGTGAGATTGTAGGGATCACGAGGAGGAGGATTCTCCATCTCCAGTGTCACTGAATAGCCAGTGATGTCATCCTCATAGGCAGTCAGGTTCAGAGTAAAGGGGTGAGCAGCGCCACTTCAGAGCTTGTCTGGCGTGTAGTGTGGCGCTACGTCTCAGACTAAGTTGAGTTTCCAGTAGTCCTTCATGATAGAAATGGGATAATATTCTAATGAAAATGCTAAGCAATCTTTGGGTGAGTGCAGAGCTAAAACGCACTGCAAGCAGTCCCTACAAACACAAAGTGTGACGAACACCCGGCAGAGATCTCAATGGGCAACCAAATGGCTCACGAAAGTACTGAGAAGTTATGGCTCTTACACTCGAGAAAAACGAAAGCCACTGCTACGTATCGAAAACCTGCATCTGGGGGAACTTTTCATTAGGACAACGTACAGTGTGATGTATCCAGAACAAA